GTGCAATACCAGCTCACTGTAACCTCTGCTTTGCTTCCAGGGTTCAAGTGATTCTCCTGCCTCAGTCACCCAAGTAGCTGGGGCAACAGGTGCACACCATTACGTCTGGCTAATTTTTGCATTTTTATTAGAGACAGGGTTTTACCATATTGGCCAGGCTGGTCTAACTCCTGACCGCAAGTGATCCGCTCACCTTGGTCTCCCAAAGTGCTGGGATTACAGGCCTGAGCCACCACGCCCAGCCAACTAGTCATTATTTCTAGTAGCAAAAGACTAGCAACAGTCCCAAAGACTGTGCATAAGTGAACTTTCAGTAGTGCATCCATCTCATAGATACTATACAGCCAGAATAATATGAAGACCTCCAAATCAACATATGGACTGATTTTCAGGATGCACTGCTAAAAAAAGAAAGGTACAAAATATCTTACCAGTAAGTGCAGAGTAGTTTAAAAAAATAAAATAAAGGTAGAGAATAATGTATATATCATCTTTTATAAAAGATTGGTAGGAGTGGAAAATATTAATACATCTATCTGTGTATGCATATGCCTTTACCTATTTCTGCAAAATCAAACACCTGAAGAATAAACCAGAAATAAAATAAAAATGGTTACTAATAAGAATGAGGTGTAGAGAAAGGTATATAAATAAGAGTTCTCTGAATATACCTTTTCACATGGTTTCGACATTTTAATTATGTAAATACCTGTTCAAAAAAATAAACGTGGAAAAAAAACCTTAAAGATTCAAAGAGGTGAAAACCCTGTCACGCTAAATTTGGGTTAAATATCAAAATGAATGTATGATTTAAATACCTATGTATATACATAAAAACTATTCCTCAGCTCTGCCTACTAAAAGTGCCTAGCAGAAATGATAAGCAATTATCAGTAAGTACATCCTCTTAACTGACTGCCAGGATTTTAATCTTTAAATACTACTCTGTATTAAATGAAACCATGGCTCACTGAAGAAATGGCTGATTCCTGTGCTAGGGTAGGGTGGAATCCAAATTCAAGTAAATCCCAATGATCCCTACTTTCCTGGTATTCATGCCCTTATACAGCCTCTACCCATAATGTATAAAGCTGACTTGTGTAACCAATAGGATATTTTGAAAATAATATTGTATGTTATTTGAAGTTAGGTTATGAAAGACATAGATAACAGTGTCTGCCTTGTTCTTTTGGATCATTCACTCTAGGAAAAGTCAGCAGACATGTCATGAGAACATTCAAAAAGTCCTATAGAGAAACCCACATGGTGAAGCACTAAGATCTACCACTGGTCAGCACTAAATTGTAAGTCATTGTGGAAGTGGATTTTGCAATTTCAAGTCAAGTTTTCAGATGCTAAAGCCCAGGCTAACATCTTGACTGCAACCCTACGGAAGACCCTAAGCCAAAAGAACAGTTAAGCTCTTCCCAAATTTCTGACCCACAGAAACTGTATGAGATAATAAAGGCTTATTATTTCACACATCTTTAACTTTGGAGTAATTTGTTGCACCACAATAGATAACTACTCAAGCAGTAAAGGTAGAAAGTAAACCTGAGGCATCTTGTTTCCCAAGAAAGAAAGAAAGTGATTAATAAATAAAAAGACATGTGAAAAGGACAAGAAATTAGCATGAAGGGGCTTATCATCAGTCAAAGTTGGGACAACATATACTTTAAAGACTATTAAGGAAAATTTCAGAAACATTCAAAAGCAAAGCAATAACCACTAGCACTGTCATTCTTGTTTCATTAATTCTCCTACAGTTTTTTTTTTCTACGGCATTTTGGGGAAAACCCTTGTACATTTGTCCCTTGAACAACACATTTTGGAACCACATGGTTCATTTATATGTAGATTGTTTTCAATAAATATATTGGAAATTTTTTTGGAGATTTGCAACAATTAAAAAAAAAAACCTTGCAGACAAGCCATGCAGTCTAGAAATATTGGAAAGCCTAAGACAAATTTAGGTTCATCATGACGTACAAAATGTATGTAGATATTTAACATTTACTACCATAAAATATACACGAATCTATTACAAGTAGTTAAAATTTATTAAAACTTAAACACACACTTACAGGTTGTACATGGCACCATTTACACTTGACAGCAATGTGAATACTGATACAGTATTATGGCTGGGAGCAGTGGCTCACAGCTGTAATCCCAGCAGTTTGGGAGGCCAACACAGACAGATCACTTAACATCTGAAGTTCAAGACCAGCCTGGCCAACATGGTGAAATCCCATCTCTACTAAAGAAATACAAAAATTAGCGGGATGTGGTGGCACGTGCCATAATCCCAGCTACTTGGGGGGCTGAGGTGGGAGAATCGCTTGAACTCAGGAGGTGAAGGTTGCAGTGAGCCAAGATCACACCACTGCACTCCTCCTGGGCGACAGAGTGAGACTCTGTCTCAAGAAAAAAAAAAAAAAAAAGACATAGTATTAAGTCATAACTACACAGAATTAACTGGAGCACACCTTATACTACTATAACAATATCATATGCATCTACTGTTGGTACTGTAGTGAGCTCAAGAATTCCAAGTATCCACTAAAAAAGCCCTGTGACACTAACCATCTTTATATCAATAGTTGGGTCTCTCCAGTGAATTGAGTATCATAGTAAAAAGTGATCTCATGGTTCTCATTTATGTTTCATCATGTTTAGTGCAATACCATAAAACTTGAATAACATTATGGGACCCACATGAGCTACCAGTAATGCTGGAAGTTTTCCCAAGAAGCAGAGAAGTTATTACAAGAAAAAACTTAAATTACTTGATATGTCTGCAGCTACAGTCACCCACCATTTCAAGATAAACGATTCTGGTATAAAGACCGATGTTAAAAAAAAAAATTTATAAAGCCATAACTGCTATACCAGCAGGTGCGAAAACCATTGTACCTTTTGCAAAATACCTTTTTATTTAACATCGGGAGTGTAGCTTTTATATGAGTGCAGAATTGCTATTAAAAAGGCACACCTATACTCATGATTCAAAAAAAGTGCTCATAATGACAAAGCAAAAGGAAGGTGAAGGCTACAAAGTTGGAAATTTTAAAGCCAGCAAAGGATAGTTTGATCATTTTACAAAGAGGTTTCACTTTAAAAATGTCAAGAGACTAGAAGAAAGTTTCTGCTGATCAAGAAGTAGCTGACCACTCTCCAAGACGCCATTAAGAACATCACTGAAGAGAAAGAATATCTGTCTGCACAGGTTTTTAATGCAGATCACAGTGCCCTATTCTGGGTGGAGGGGGAGGGGGGAAGCCACAAAGGATATTCATTAGTAAGGAAGAGAAGTAAGCATCAGAATTTAAAGCAGGAAGAAGAAGAAACAGGCTAATATACTCATTTGTACAAATGAAGCTGTTGGGTTTGTCATGAGGACTGCCCTTATTTGTAAAGGTGCTAACCCTCAAGTCTTGAAGGGAAAAGATAAACACCAGATGTCTGTCTGTTTTTTTTTTTTTTGCCAGTAATGTGTAATAAGAAGGCCTGGACAACAAAAAAACCCTTTTCTGGATTGGTTTCCACTGAGGTTTTGTCCCTGAAGCCAGGAAGTATCTGGCCAATAAGGGATTACCTTTTCAAGTTCTTCTGATAATGGACAATGCCCCTGAACAACCAGAACCCCTTAAGTTCAACACCACAGGTATCAAAATGGTCTACTTGCTCCTAAACACAGTATCTCTAAATCAGCTTACAGATCAGGGGTTCATAGAAACTTTAAGGCTCATTAAACATAGTACTCAATAGAAAGGACTGTCAACACTATCAAAGAGAACCCTGACAGAACATCATAAAAGTCTGGAAGGATTACACCACTGAAAATGCCATTGTTGTTATAAAGTCATCAAGCCCTCCATAATAAACACTTATTGGAGAAAACTGTGTCCAGCTGCTGTGTATGATTTCTCAGAATTTATGACAGAACCAATCAAGAAAACCATCAAAGAGGTTGTGGTTATGGTATAAAATATGGGGAATGAAGGACTTCAAAATATAGATCTTAGAGAAATTAGCAAACAGATACCAGCCAGGAATGGTGGCTCACATCTGTAATCCCAGCAGTCAGGGAGGCTGAGGTGGGAGGACCACCTGAGGTCAGGAGTCAGGAGTTCAAGACCAGCATGGCAAGGATGGTGAAATTCCGTTTCTACTGAAAATACAAAAATTAGCTGAGTGTGGTGGCAGGCACCTGTAATCCCAGCTACATGGGAGGCTGAACCCTTGAGGTGGAGGTTGCAGGGAGCCATCCACTGTGCTCTAGCCTCAACAACAAGAGTGAAAACTCTGCCTCGAAAATGAAACAAAACCAAACAAAAAACACCACATCAGAGGTGTTAATAGAGAATGACTTAATGGGGATGAGGGCTTCTCAACTGGTGCCAGATGAAGAAGAAGAAAATGCTGAGGAAAGGGTGCCTGAATTAACATTAGATGATCTGGTAGAGGAGTTCCAATTATTCAAGATAGCTACTGCTTCTTTGGTGACACAGACCCTTGTATTACATGGGCACTGAAATTAAAGCAAATAGTGAAAGGAAGATTGGTGTGACACAGAAACATATTTAGAGAAATGAAAAAGCAAAAAGTCAGAAAGAGATTACAATGTTATTTCTGTAAAATTTCAGTGAGTGCGCCTGCCTCTCCATCTCCTCCGTCTCTTGTGCCTCTGCCACTGGAGACAGCGAGACAAAACCGTCCTCTTCCTCTTAGTGTACTCAGTGTCGAGGATGAAAACTTTTGTGCTGATCCATTTAACAAATAGTAAATATATTTTTCTTCCTTATGATTTTCTTAGTAATTTTTTTCTCCTCTAGCTTACTTTGTTATAAGAATACAGTGTATAACATATATTACATACAAAATGTTAATCCATTGTTTGTGTTAACAGCTTTAAGGCTTCTAGTACTTCAGGCTATTAGTAGGCAATAGAAGTTAAGTTCTAGGGGAACCAAAAGTTACATGTAAAGTTTTCTAAGAATTCATAAAAATATTTCACAAATTTGCATGTCATTCTTGCACAGGGGCCATGCCAGTCATCTCTATTATCATTCCAAATTCAGTATATTTGCTGTTGAAGTGAGCACACGTGGATTTTTGACTATGCAAGTCAGTGCCACTAACCCCTGCAGAGTTCAAGGGTAAACTGTATATAATTTCACCCTTAAATATTTGAGCATATGTCTCTAACAGATGAGGACCACTAAAATTCCTCACAAAATGTTATTTATAAGTATGAATGATTATCATAGGGATTAATATACATTTTTAACTTATAATTGACTTCACGTTGATAATTAATTATAATAAAACATAGTAATTTTCCCCAATATAGGTCCATATCTTTTCTCTTCTTTGTTACCCTTGTCACGTATATTTATGTTATAATTATGTTATAATTACAGTCATATAATTATCTCATAATGTTTTAAGAAAGTTTACAAATTTGTGTTGGGCTGCATTCAAAGCTGTCCTGGGCCACATACAGCCTGTGGGCCACAGGTTGGACAAGCTTGATTTAAATAATTTCATATTCTTTTAAATAAATTAAGGACACACACACACACACACACACACACACACACACACACACACACACACACAGTCTTTTATATCCACTCGAATCCTTACCATTTCAGATTTGTGCTCTTCATTCCTTTTTGGAATCTCACTCTCCAGGCTGGAGTACAGTGGCATGATCTCGGCTCGCTGAAACTTCTGCCTCCTGGGTTCAACAATTCTTCTGCCTCAGCCGCCCAAGTAGCTGGGATTACAGGCATGTGCCACCATACCCAGCTAATTTTTGTGTTTTTAGTAGAGACAGGGTTTTGCCATGTTTGGGCAGTTTGGTCTTGAACTCCTGACCTTAGGTAATCCACCTGCTTTGGCCTCCCAAAGTACTAATATTACAGGCGTGAGCTACTGTGCCTGGCCCATTCCTTCTTTTTTCTTTCTTCATTCCTTCTTGTGGATTCGTTTTATCACCTTGTGTTATTACTTATGGCTTGAAGGACTTCTTTCTTTCCTTCTTTGAGATGGAGTCTTGCTCTTTTGCCTAGGCTGGAGTGTAGTGGCACGATCTCGGTTCACAAAGTCCACTTCCTGTGTTCAAGTGATTCTCCTGCCTCAGCCTCCTGAGTAGCTGGGACTACAGGTGTGTGCCACCATTCCTGGCTAATTTTTGGATTTTTAGTAGAGATAGGGTTCCACTATGTTGGCCAGGCTGGTCTCAAAACTCCTGAGCTTGTGATCCACCTGACTCTGCCTCAGAAAGTGCTGGGATTACAGACATGAGCCACTGTACCTGCTGAAGGACATCTTTTAATATTTCTGGTATGGCAGATCTAGCAACACATTCTCCAAATTTTTCTTTTTTGTTTCTCTGGTAATTGTTTTTTATACCTTCATCTTTGGAAGATAATCTTATTGGATTTATAATTCTTGGTTGGCTACTTTTGTTGACTCACTGAATATGTCATTCCATTGTCTTCTGGCCTCCACTATTTCTGGTAAGAAGTCAACTGTAAATCCCATTGCTATTGCCCTCTACATTTGTTTCTCTCTTGTTGCTTTCAAGATTTTTGTCTTTGTCTTTCAACACAATTTGACTATGTTGTGTCTATGTGTGGAACTTCTGTGTTTACTTTATTTGGGTTTTGCTAAGCTTCTTGAATCTGTAAATTGTCTCTCATCAAATTTGGGAGGTTTTCAGTGATTATTTCTTCAAATTTTTGTTCTGCCTCTATCCCGCTCCTTTCCTTCTGGGACTTCCGATACACATATTTTGGTGCATTTGATGGTGTTCCATCCATTTCTGTGGCCCTGGTAATATTTCTTCAATGTTTCTTCTTCTCCATTCTTCAAAATGGATTACTATTAATTTTCATGTTCATTGTTTCGTTCATCATCTTAAATCTGCTAATTAACATCTAGTAAATTTTAAATTTCTGCATTGTAAGTCTCACCAGAAATTCCATTTGGATTTTCATTAAGATTCTCTACTTCTTGTTTGCATATTTTCCTGTAATTCTTTGAACATATTTATTAAAAGGCCTCTGAAGTCTTTGCCTACTAAATCCAACACATGGGCCTATTGAGAAGCCATTTCTATTGTCTGCTTTTCTTCCTGAGTATGGTTGTATTTTTCTGTTTCTTTGCATGGTTGTAATTTTTGTTGAAAGTAGACATTTTTGGATAATACAGTTAACAATGGATTTTAATTTAACTTTTTTTTTTTTTGAGACAGAGTCTTGCTCTGTCACCCAGGTTGAAGTGTAATGACATGATCTTGGCTCCCTACAACCTCCGCCTTCCGGGTTCAAGTGATTCTCCTGCTTCAGCCTCCTGAGTAGCTGGGACTACAAGCACATGCCACCCTGCCCAGCTAATTTTTTATTTTTAGTAGGGATATGATTTCACTGTGTTGGCCAGGTTGGTTTCAAACTCCTGACTTCAAGTGATCTCCCAACTTGGCCTTCCAAGTGCTAGGATTACAGGAATGAGCCACTATGCTTGGCAAATTTCAATTGTTAACTATAGATTTTAATTTTTTTAATTATAAAAGTTTCCATTTTTTTAAAAGGGAATCTTTAATGCAAACTGTATATATAATCTGCTTCCCCTATAGTACGTTACTTCTGCTACCTCTGCTCAGAATTTTTATTCTTACTTTTGTTTTTTAATCTGTCTTCCTAGAAGTCCTTATTGCGTTTCAATAGATTAGGAGTCAACCAATCATTTGGGTAGAGGTTGTATTCAAATATTGCAATATTTGTGGCTTCAATAAGGCTTCCTCCCCTCTGAGAAATGATCTGTTGTTGGTTAGGGAGCACATTCAAATTCACTCAGTTCTTAGATTTTGCTTGACTTTTACTTTCCATTAATTTCTCTAAGGTTTCCTGAGAAGCCATTTCTACCGTAAAGGATGTACAGAGAGCATAGCTAATCCTTTTGCAGCTTTTTCACTTCTAAGATTTTTCAGTTAAATTTTCGGCTGGTCCAGTACTCTTACCATGACCCTAGATTATCCAAACTGTAGGTTTTCCCTGTTTGTTTCTACCAAATTCACCACTTTCAATTAACAAAAGCTGTGGGCTTTTATTACTTGTCCATGTTAAATCCATTGCCTCTAACAGTAAAGCTTTGGGTTTTTGAAGCCAGTGTCACTCTGGTAACAAACTACAGATCTTACTGACCATGCATGTAGGTACATGTATATTGGCAAGAAGGCCACAGACTTCCGCTTTTACCTGAAGCTCTATCACTTTTTCAGGAAAAAATATTTCTCAATGTGTTTTTTATCTTTGGGGAATTTCCAGAGCCCTGATGTAATGTTTTTGGTAACACATTCCAGTTTTACAGTTGCTCTTTGCAGAACGATTGGCCCTTCTCTTCAAATCAACAGAGACAGGAGTCTCTCCAACTGTGATTATCTCAACTCATCTTTAATATAAATACCTGTATTATTAGTCCCATATTACAGATAAGGAAACTAAGGCACACACAAAAATCATTCATCTATCTAAAGATTATATAGCTGCTAAGTAGAACTTGCAAACTAGGCATTTTGCCTCCAGAGCCTTTATGTACTTTTAATAGATATAAAAATCCTTAAAATACCATGTAAGTACAATAACAGAAGCAGATACAGGTGCTATGGTAGCATACAGGAAAGAATCTATTTTTGGAACCTGAGGATAGCAGACAGGATACAAAGATGAAGCACTACAGTCCATTATTTATAAAAATACCATGTTTTGGGGGATACAAATATCAGTAAAATTTCCAAATATTTAAGACAGTTAATTGCATTAAAAGCCTTTTCGTAGATTTCTCGCTAATGCAACTTACTCTCTTGCCGGTACCCCTTCCCACTGGAGGATGTGCCTCAGCAGCTTGTCGAATTGTACAAACCATTAGCTCTATAAGAGCACTCTCCTGACGATCAGACATTGCTAAGGTGAAATAAAATACAGGAGCATGAGTAGACAGTTTTACAATAACCATGTTTTAAAAATGAACACATTATTTAAAAACTGAAAGTATTCTATTACTGCTTAAAGACTAAAGTTAAGCTCTGTACTTTGCTATTTCTTTTTTTTTTTTTTTTTTTAAACAAAAGTAATATGTGCATCCTGTCCTAAGTCAAACAGGGAAGAGATACAAAGTAAAGAATAAGAGGATAACTCTGGTCTCTTCTAATCCGGGGTCTCTTCTAATGCTACCTTTCTGAGTTAGGCAATACTAAAATTTTTTGTTTCCTTCCACATAATTTCAAAACTCATATAATAGGATTTTTCTTTTTTGTTTAATAAAAAAAGAGTATGCCATATGTTTTAAAAAACTTAACAGACTTTTAATACTTTTCAAGTCAACACCCACACAAAATAATTATCTTAATAAATTACTATATAATGTATGTACCTTGATTTAGTCAGTCTTCTACTTATGGTCATTCAAATAATTCCCTGATTTTTGACACTGAACAATGCTGCAATAAACATCATTAATAGCTATATATTTATGTAACTGATATTTATTTCTGTACAATAAATTCTCCAAAGAAATATGAATTCAAAGGGCAAGATCTTGATACTGACAAATCATAAGATCATTTATTATAATTTATGCCCCAACTGCAATGTTATGAATGTTTGGTTCCTTATATCCCTGTCAGCATTAGATGTTATAAAATGGTTTTAATTTTTGCCACTCCAACAGTTGAAAAGGGCTATTTGGTTATTATTTTGCTCCTTCTTAGCTATTAATTAGTTGTGGAATATATTTTTTCCCCCTAAGATTTGTCTATGTTTATTTTTCACCCATTTTTGTGCTACTATTCACCTTTCTTATGAATTTGTGAACTCTTGTATGGCAGAGGTAGTACTTTTTAATCTTTACAATGATGCAAGTATTTTCTCCCAGTTTGTCATTTGTTGTCAGACTCTTCATGGTATTTTTTGTCAGATAAAAATTGTTAGTTTTTACAAAGTCAAATCCGTCTCCTTTCATTTTATAGCTTCCACGTTTCTTGTATTGCTGCAAAGATCTCTCTGTCCTGGAGATTACACTAACAAGTTCTTCATTT